AACTGAAATCATATTGTTTGGTTTTGTTTTCATGGAGAAAAATGCAAAAAACAAAAAAAAACACGACACTTTTGGGATTCCTTTACCTCATATCACCACAATGGGAGCACTTCAGAACATAATTTGAACAGATTCAGGAAGCTACAGTGTAGGGCTACAACTTTTGTTTTTTGACCATTTTTGGTAATTGGTCATGTGACCATCATCCCAACATCCCATTACATGGACCCTGATAGGTAAAATCATTCTCTGCTTGGTTTTCTTCACTTTTTGGTCAAACCAGGTGATATTTCCCTTTTGGGATGGAACCTGAAGTGGACCCTGAAGGCAGTGCCTGATGTTCTGTACACCATTTATATATATATTCAATTTTTCTGGCTATTTTTGGATATATTACCATATTTGGAACTGGACCCTGGACCCTGACAATGTTACCCAACATGATGATCAGCAATGAGCCCTAATTTTTCCTGATTTTATTGCTATTTTACATTTGGAAATGCACCCTGGACCCTGAAAGGTCAGCTGCCACTAAAAATGAAATATTCATTGAAAGCGCCAGGTACACATATGAAAAGTGCAATGAAATCTCCTAGGAATAAGAATGAAATATCCATTGAAAGCACCAGGCATCCAAATGAGAAGCACAATGAGATATCCTGGGTTGAGCAATGAAATATCCAATGAAAGCACCAGGTATATCTATGAAAAGTGCAATGAAATATCCTAGGAACAAGAATGAAATATCCATTGAAAGCACCAGGCATTCAGATGAAAAGCACAATGAAATATCCTGGGGCTAACAATGAAATATCCAATGAAAGCGCCAGGTATCCATATGAAAATTGCAATGAAATATCCTGGGGTTGAGAATGAAATATATATTGAAAGAGCCAGGTGTCCATATGAAAATTGCAATGAAATATCCTGGGGTTGAGAATGAAATATATATTGAAAGCACCAGGTATCCATATGAAAATCACAATGAAATATCCTAGAACAATGAGATATGCGATCTCATTGAACCTCTAGGCATTATACACATCGCCCTCCAGGCATATGTCTGGTTTTTATCATAAAAGTGTATACCACCCATCGCAATCTAGCGCCTACTTGATCTATTTTTCTTTAAAATGCTTCTTTCGTTTTCAAGGACATGTTGCGTGTCAAAGGTGCTGCGACACACTCGTGGAGAGTAGGCAATGCTGTCCTTTTCGCTGCGACATGGCCATCCTTCGACCACGCGACATCAGGCCCATGGCCATGTCGCTTGTGACCGACAGTGACTCGTTCAATGAGGGGATCGTCCGCTCGTGAGTCGTCTTGAAGTTCTTGTCATTGTTGAAATTTGAACTTCACGTTACTTCACCAGCAAAGTACTGGCTATCTTGTCCGATATTCGCGCGTTTCAACTCCAATACAACCAGAATAGTCTCTCCGTTCACTCCCTCCGTGCAAATGTTTCGGTTCAAAAAGATTCTATTCAAAAATATGCGCGGATTCTTCACAAGGTTATCCAGAAAAGAAAAGATGTCTTTCAAAGCCTCGCTCGTGCTCGTGCAGAATACGAAGGAGAGGTTTCCACTCAATGCCAGTTACGCGAGGAACTTACGCAGCTTCGGGGGATGGTATGGATAGCCTTTTCCTCCACTATTCATGCTCAAATATTTGGGGTAGCTGCGCGCAACAGCCACCACACCGCCCAAAACACCTCCCAGTACGCCACCTTGTGTTTGGATGTAAACAACTCCTGATATGCTTTTCAGCTGCTTCCAGCTCCACCGGCCACAAGCGTCATCGAATCGACGGTGAATGCAGTGAGGAACAAGATGCCTTTCGATGCAGAAAGGTGAGCCATTCACTTGCGATTTGCCAGCGACCCGGACTAGTTGACCTTATCATTTTTAGAAAGGGCCACCGGCGTCTGTGTATACGTAGTCGCGTTTTTTGAGGGCCATGACAGGCATTCGACACGATCGCCAAATCACGTAGACGGCGAGAGCATTTAATTATCTACATTCGTTCTTACTGTATATCAACTACGCATATCTTGTTAAACCTTAGCAGATGTTACCAGGAGCAAAACAATGCTCTTAGTAAGTATTTGATGTGGAGTTGCTCTTACATTGTCGCAAGAAAAATGAAAGACAATCCCGAAGAGCTTTTTGCGAAGATCAATAGCTCGAGCTCGACGGTAAGGTCATCTGCCGCCATTCACATCCCGGGAATCAGACCTATCGTGTTTCAGGGTTCAAAGTCCCGCACTCAAGCTCGATTATTTATATCGGAGAATAGGCACGCGCGAACCGAACTCTCATTCTCGTTTGCTTATCGTAGTCGCTCTAATTACACGCATCGTCCCAATCTACATGTGCCACCATCCTGCAAAGTAAGCGGCACACATCCATCCACGTCACTCCGACTCGACGAAGGCAATGTGGACATCTTGGCGTTGTAATGCATAGCTAGCTTGAATTTCGCCACGTTCACCTTTCGGCGCTTTCTGACCGGTCGGGTAATACGTGACAGGGGCTAGACAGTTAACAACACCGCTTTGAATCTGACGATGTCCGCGATTTCCAGTCTGACAAAGCAAACAATCTTGGGTCGGTGTGTAGAAATCTTGGCGAGGAGAGCGGGAACTCCAGCGATTTGCTTGACCTTGCTCTGCTACAAACGATGGATCAATCAGTAATTGGAAACTTGCGTAGAAGTACTGATACCTCAACTGTTGGTTGATCGTCCAGATTTGTCCGTGAAGGTGTGAGTACTCAGTAGAAGAAAAGAAGGGCTACCATCTCATCGAATACTGTGCTGGGAGGATGAAGTCGTCTAGAAGTCGTGTAGTACGAGGTTGGATCGGAATGGCCAAGCTTTGATTGACTCACCTTCTAACCCACTGCACAAGTGAACGTACGTAGACGGCTCGCCGCTCGGCATACCCCCATTTCTGCTTCTTGAAGAGAGAGACGGGTTCTAATCAACTTACTTGAGCGCACCTTTTGACTTCTCAGCTGCTGCATCAGCGTCTTCAGCTCTCCAGCCTGCATCTTCGTTACTATCGGCTCATCATGTCGCATGTGCAGAGTCGTCATGCTACAAGGTCGGTCAATCGGCTGGGCACCGACTTGATCTACGCGGTGCATGTCAGCAAAAACGGTGTACAGGGGGGGGATTGGGGGATAACGAACAATGTTGAAACATTCCTGTCATTCACTTTTGGCGGGCCCCCATTGCGATAGAGGGAAAGCGAGGAGCGCGGAGTTGCATGCCGAGGTCTGCGACGCCGCCGGGAGAACTCTGGAGGGTTGGGGCTGTTGTGAGCAGAAGCCCATTCATGAGTAGAGTATGGGCGAGAATCACGATGCACTGGGTCGGGTGGCAAGGAGACAATAGTGGGACATTTTTTTTTCAAGCAGGGGCAGCAACCTGAACAGACCCACATCAGCCAGGACGGACAAGAAGAGACACCCAACACACCTAGGCACATGACGATGTGTTGTTGATCTCCCATCAAATTTGATATTTTTGACACTCCGAAGTACATGCCGAATAGCTGCCGTTAGTGTTAGGGCTTAGTGTTAGGGTTTGGTTAGGGTTAGTGTTTTTTCGCGCGGTAGCGCGCTCTTACTTCGGTCTCCCCGCGCGGTAGCGCGTTCTCGGTAGGGTTAGGAGATTAGGGTAAGGTTAGGAGGTTAGGGTTAATGGTTAGGTTTAGGGATATATTCTCTCCGCGCGGTAGCGCGTTCTCGGTTAGATTAGAAGGTTAGGTGAGTGGTTAGGGGGATTAAAACTCCGGCTGCCCAAATCGGGAATGTGTCGTTGTTGCTACGTGTGTATGTGTCGTCTCTTGTATATCCTCCACATCAGCCATTCATGTCCGTCAAATAAAATGCCGGACAAACGTTATGTAACTCTCGTCGCACGTCTCTCACTACTCTCTCTACTTTCCGCGCAGGTTATGGAGCTCGGCCCATGATGATTACCTCTGGCATCAATGCGGGACAAGAGATGCACTCAGAGAGAGATATGATCTACGTCGTTAGCTCGGTACGGCTCGCGAGAAGCTGGACGCGGAGACAATCACGCATGGGTTTTTGCACGACGAACTTACACTGCTGAAGCGTAACATTCGCCTCCTGATTGATTACATTTCTTGGCGACTTCTGATATTGTTTGAATTTCTTTCAGAGACGCCAATTACCCTTGCGTCACTTGACATCCAACCTGCCGAAATCTCACCACGAGAACTGACACGAGGCTTCAAGGGTCAAGGCTTTGTCATTCGCCAATCACTGACGATTGACTGCTGATTGCTAACCAGATATCTAGGTTGTCGTCGAACGCTCACCTCTTGACGATGTGCCAGGTTAAGGAGCTCGGCCCATGATGATTACCTCTGGCATCAATGCGAGGACTTTTGCTGTACTTTTCTGCGTGCGATCGACATAATATTTACAGTGCCTGCGGGAGGCCTTGAAGATAAACGAGACGTGGTTGTCACAAAGCACGTTTCTGTTACCCACTCGCGACGCACCGTTCTCCTTTGTCACGATTAGACCTCTTTCGCTTTGTTAGCTATTCGGACTTTCTCCCCTCTCTCAATCATGGATTCTGCACTCTGTGAGTTACCATTCTTTGCCTCATTATATATATATATTTGCTTTGAGGCAACCTGACATGCTATCGTCATAGACGAGAGTTTCAAAGCACGTATCCTTGTGGATATTAGGGATCACGTCGACCAGGCCTACGACAATCTACGGGAGGAGGACGCTAAACAAGACGAAGAGAGCAATAACATCAAGCAGTCGGTTATGATAGTAGCGCAACAGGCGTCCGCTGCAATCCAACGATGTGTATGTAAA